TCGTAGCAATACTGAATTGAGTCTGGAATAAATTATCTCAACAACCTCAAACCTGGGGCACAGTAGGAAAGCCGTGCTGTGCTTCTTACCCCCATGATAAAATAAGGCAGAGAGTAGCAGCCTCCGTGTAGATGTGTCTGCAGGACTAATGCTCAGTGGACCCAGGATAAATGAAATCTCACTGGGATATTTGGGAACTCTAATGTATTTGCATTAGTTCAGCTGACGGTTTTATAGCTCCCAGCCAAAGGAAATATTGATAACATTAAGAAAACCCCGAGTCGTGATTAGGTGAGGAGAGTTCAGACGGCGTTCACAGAGATGACGAAGAGTTTGGGGTTAACCTGCCTGTGCCGATGGTCACAGCACAGTGCAGGAAAGTTACTAATTTTCAGTCTAATGAATAAATCACCAGCAAGTGATTCCAGCTACGTTAAAGTGGCACTGTGTCTGTGCACAAACTCTATAACGCATCATCGTCTGTATATCTGGCAGTGTAGAGAAAACGGTATTCTTTCTTATTAAGTTTTGATCCAAACTTTTACTTCAATCCATTTTTTTACAGATCACTGATCATACAATTCACTGTTTAGAACTGAGAATATCTGCATGAATGGCCAGATAATACAGTTAAAGTAAATACTTGTTGACAGTTAAGCATTACTGAACATTTGGTCAAATGTGAAATGCTTCAAATATCATTAAAAGGCTGTGCTACTGGAACAGGATTCTTATAATAAACACAGTCGTTGTACAGTAGTATGTAGTTTTGTGTAGTAGTATGTAGTGTTTGTACAGCTCTGTCATGTTTTATGTATTAGAAGTGTGTCTCTGCTCCCAGGGCTCCAATGTCTAGACAAAGATTTTTACAGAAACTCTTCTTCTCTGAATCCGTTCTGCCTCATCACGGTGAAGTTTCAGCAGCTTCTTCCCGTGGGGCTGTTAGAGGACTTGGACATGAGCTCTGGAACTCCCTGCTAGCTGTTTTCTTTTTTTCTTTCCTCTTGTTGACTCTGTGTCCCTCTGGCCTTTAGTTGACCAGGACCTAATGGAGTGTCTGTGTAGAAGGTATATCCTTGTTCTGTGTACTGGGACAACAGCAAGATTTACAGAAAAGTCATGTGACTTCCTGGATAAACAACTTCACACCGCTCTTTTTCCTTCACTAACTATTAGGTTAAAATGGACAGCGTTGTCTCCTTAAGAACCAGTTATGGTTGCGGTGGTAATAATATTTTGACCATGCTATTTGCTTACAGTCTCACTGACAGCGTTCAGTGATAATTGTTTGTGTATATATTTGTGCCTGCAATGGCCTAGAAAACTGTCCACTGTGTACCGCGACGATCCAAGCTCTCCTAATGACACTTAAAGGATTAATTATACTGTAGAAAATGAGTCTGTTTTAATGTGGGCAGCATGAGTAGAACGTTGGTTTGTACTGTATTCTATGTTATTATCCTTCGTGGGCCACACAACGTTCTCAGTTCTTCAAAAACACAACACAGTTTTCTGTCTTGGAGGCTACTTTTTGTCCCACTTTGTACTCAATCATCAAAGTAAGCATTATATTTTTACATTCTTTTATTCCCATAATTCCCACATGTGGCCTTAGGCTACATTAGATGGTAATTTATTAGGCATCCTGTTTTTTTATTTTTATTTTTAATGAATATATGAATTTATTAATTTCTTGTGCGTGTTCAAGGCGAAGGCCTGAAAATATATCTGTATTTTGCAGAGACTACGAAAGCCAGAGATTCCAAATGAAATGTTGTCCATAGGAGCGAGAACAACATGTGGAACAGCGAGGACTAGTGGAGGACACGACACCTACTGTACTCCACGGGTAATGTCATTACAGCTGCATCAAACAAAGCATCAAATTCCTCTATCAAATAAAAACTCCACTCCAGGGACCAGGTGCTGGGAAATTGTCAGAGTCACTGAGGTCAGAGGAAGGAGCAATAATGGTTTCTGCTCTCAAAAATCTCATCCACTAATGGCTGACCTCTGTGATACTTCTACCTGTGTTTTCACCTCAACACAAAGAAGTGGTCCACAGACAGACCTTGGTAATATCCAGAAAGCACTTGATATTTTTAGCGAGACAAGCTAACATGGAGGATATTTCACAAACTAATCTCAAGGTTATGAACTTGAACCTTAATTATATTTGTTAAAAGGACAGGAAATAAGTTCAGTAGTGCTGGAACATCAACCAATTTAAATAGATGACCTCATTCTTTTGCAATTTGAATTATTGCACACACACGCACACAGATTTCTTGACGTTTTCTCTTCCGCTTCAAGTGCATAAAAATACATCAAAGCTTATAAACAGTGTATTCTGGCAGCTTTCAGAAGCAGACAGCAGAGAAGAGCAAAAAGGAGGAAAAAAAGTTTTTCTCAAGTCTGTGGAGCATAAATCCACAGTCTTGTTTGTACAGACGCTGTCGTCCTTTTCTGCAGTGCACTGAAGCGCAGGGCAACAAAAATACCTGGCCTGTGTGCAAAAGAGGACTGAGAACACTCCAGCAGACCACTGACAGGAGAGAAGACGGGACTGTGGAGGCGCCGCCTTTCCATGAAACCTGGAACCACTTCTAGATCCTCACAGGTAGAATTCTCTGACTTTACCAACACTGGCCAAGAGTTAAAATCTTTTATTCCCCCCATCAGGGACTGTTATGTTCTATAGAAATTATATACTGAGTTAAAAGTGAAATCCAGATGAGCAGAATGCATTGGTCTTTATGAGATGAACTGAAAAAAAAAAAAAAAAAGCCCACAACGTCTCTCCGTATGTTTTAAGCCAGAGGACACGACGTGTTTGACAGCAGCAAACCTCCAACCCATTATGCAGACAAAAACTGTTAGATAAATACGGATGTTGGGATGAAAGTGTTAACAGATGAACGTGGGTTGACAAACTGAGCGCAGAAACTCATTTACATGTGGCTGAATGCAGAATTCACAAGACAAGAACATGTTGCTTTTCTTTAGAGGAGCACAACAGCAAAGGTGGAGCAGGGAAACCATCTGTTTCCTCTGATCGTTAATTAATAGTGCAAAAAAAAGAGAGTAGGTATTAGTGTGCATTAGAAATGGGTTTATTTGAATGCAAGTTTAAATGTATGTGGACCAACACATTAAATATTAAAATAAAAATAATAATAATAAAAAAATATATTTACATTTATGCTTTTCTGCGTGTGAGAGAGTGTGATTGGCTGCAAGTGTGAGAGTGAGGAGCGTGTGACCAGGTCCAGGTGAATCACTTGAGCTGATGGTTCTGTGCTTTTTCCAGCTGCTGGGGCAGACCTGTTTGAACCACCCTCAGCCACCGACACTTCCTGTTGTTGTTCCTGGTTGTTCCCTGGAGTTCGGTGAGTCTCTCTCATTTTCTTGTTGCCTCCAGTTTCTTCTAGAAACGTGGACGTTACTTTAATAGCATCATCATTTAGAATTATTCAAAACAGCTCGACTGTCATTATTACCCCCTATTGGCCACATTATTCATAGGGTGACACTTTCCCTAACCTTTGCGGGTTCCATTCATTGGTTATTAAAACAAAATTATATGAAAAAAGAGAATAATTCTTTAATTTCCCACTGTTCATCCAAGGGATATGTTTTTTTCACGCACTAGTGACTTTTTACAGCTGTCATTCCCTAAGAGAATAACACATTTGTGATTCTCAACATGAACATTTAAATATAGTATATAATCACATTGCAGTAACACATTGTAACATTGCACTGGAAGGGATGAATGAGTTATTTTGAACAAAAATGTGTTTCCCAAAGGCCACGAAGCTGGGATATCCAGACTGGAAAAGCATTGTAAACAAAACAAGGCTGTAGTCCAACAACCATTATAAAAACCTGGTATCCACTATCTTAAAGTGGATTTCTTCACATATAGAAAACACCTAGCAAAGATCTAGTGTACAAAAAGTGTAGGAAAAGTATCAGTTTGAAATTGAAGAGCAGTCACCAAAAATAACAGAGGTAAAGGCAGCAAAAAACAAACAAACAAACAAACAAAAAAAACAAACATAAATTATTCACAAAACAAACAAACAAACAAAAAAAACAAATGGAGTGGATGGTTATAACAAGGCAAAGGTCTCATTGAGTGACAGGTGCAGGTGTAAATGTCTGGTCCACATATCTGGCATTCATCTTCACCAGCTTAATCTTCGTCAGGGTCAGAGGGATTTCCTGCAAAGGGGGTTGATCATCAGGCAAAGGTGAGGCGTAAGACTGCAGGGCAAAATATAGAGTCTAACAAAAATACACTGGACCTACAACACTCCAGTTGACCTAATAATGTGTGTTTGGACCATGGAAGGGGAACAAAGAACCTGTTAAAGCATTCTTTCTTTGTTATTTATATTATTTCTTAGATGACAAGCTGCGGTACATTGGTTTTCCAGTCAAAACATTTTTTCTAAAACTGAAATATAAGGTGTCGGCTGAAGACTTAAAGACACCACTGTGTTTTATTATCATATTGATTAACTTTCATTATAAATAATAGTTGTGGAAAAGTGGCCAAAACACCCTGTGGTGCACAAAGTAAGGCACCGAGCTGGTCTGAAACACCTGTCTGAGACCCAGGAGGAAAAGTTATTAGTGCCAGGGATCAGCTCGATATGTGCCCCGAGGCAGGAGCAGAAATAACAAGCTGTGTGTGCAAACATTTCTCAGGCTCAGGAGTAAAAAAAATCAGGAGAGCACAAAGAAAATTAACCTTTTAGTCATTGTAATCATCTCAGTGGTAGAACAAAAATGTCCTCTAGTCTGTATTTACAGCAACAGTACAGCTTTTTTCATACTTTGCTCTGTAGTTTATCCTGAAAATAATCTTGAATTTTATACTTAATATAGGGCCAATTAATCAGATGGTAGCTGTGGATGAATCATGATTTATCAAGTTTAATTGTTATTCCTAATAATGACAAAACTTGTTTTTCTGTATTTTGCTAATACAGAAATACAAATAACAAGTAGAGTAAATTTCACACGATAATTAACACAATTAACATGTTCATTGACAGCCCTACATAATATAGGTAGATTTTCCTTTAATATTTGATAAAATAAGCTGCATACTTGTGCTGATTCTATCATGGAATAAATGAATGGCATGTTGGTCGTCAGTGAAGGAAGTCATTCAGGAATGTGAGTCAAGACTTTTTATAGGCTGCTTCTTCTTCTTATCATATATATTTAATATTAAGCCTCCAGAAGTCGTTTGCAAAGTTGCTCTCCTTTGAATATAATCTGATATAATACTTGAAGGTATAATCACAGCACTTTTTCCTTGTGTAAACATGGAGGGTACCAATCTTCAAAATGTATTATGATTTTAATTGTTTTTATTTTTAATTATTAGCTTAGCTTGTTCACTATTTTGAAAGATCATGTTTTCTGTCTCTGTAGTTGTCTATTCTACCTCTGCCTTGTTCCTCTGTTGCTGCTACGTATCAGTTTCTCCGGTGTGTGATCAATAGAGCTAAAATAATCTAATGTAATCTAATCTAATTCTCCAACTGAACATTTGTCTTATAAGTTTGTCTACCTACTGTATTCAGCATTGGTGTGCAAGAAAGTCCATGCCCTCAAAAATGAATAAATATAATAACAGGCCAGAGGGCATTTATAGCACCAGTATTTGAGGTTACACCAAATCTGTCCTGACTCAACAGAAACATTCTGCTCTCAGGTTCTCAGGTTTTTGTTGCTCCTATTTAGATCTGTGTCACACTGGAGCACAGAACAATATAAAGTAGGCAGTTTCCGTCCACTCAGAGCAGTTTGGTTCGCAAACGAACCAAACTTAAAGTTCAGATGATGATGCAGTAGACATGGGGTCCTCAGTTTATGATGTCCTCGACCTACGGTGTGTCGTGTTGTTGTCGCCATCTCCCATAAACGTATTAAGAAAGTCTTGTTACATCATTTTCAATGGTGTTAAAACAAAAACATTGTCAACCGGCACTGTACATGGAAGACAACTTGGTATGTGCTGCATTCACTTCCTTTCATCTGTGTTGTTTTTTTGCCCATCATTATGGCTCTCAAGCATAAGTCAGACTCTACTGATGTTTTTATGTCATAGCTTGTGATGTTGCCACTTATCGTAGCTGAGTGACAAAGGTACTGTACAATATGTGGGTTCCGACTTGTACATGTCGGACAGTTGTAAATCAGTTTTCGTTGCACCGTAGGAACGGAACATTTGAAAATATACTGCTGCACAAGGCTGTAATGACCAATGTTTCATTATCAGGACAGTAACTCTTCTACAGTCTAAACAATCTTTGCTCAGCATACAAGTGTTCTTATGCGTGACATCTTCTCTACAGCAGATAAAGAGCCAACAGCACAGAATTTAAATGCGTCACATCGACTTTTCCTACTTTCCAACCTGAACAGGCAGTGGCAGGCCTCAGGATTATGAATAGAAATTAAGCTAACAGACGTATTTGGGTGCACAGCTGTCAGCCTGTGACGGGACGATACGCCTTCAGAGTAAATGAACAGCAAAACAAACAATGTTAAAAAAGCATAAAGGGAATTCTGCAGTGGACCAGAAGCAGATTTGGAGACAGCTGGTCGGTGTGCAACCAGATTGAAGTGTCTGAAAAGTGTCTGTCCGGTAATCTGAAAGGCAGGAGTGCATGTGTACAGGGGCACAGCAGACTCCTGCAGGAGCGCAGGCTGAATCCTAATGCAGGAGGCTCGACTCCGTCCTCTCTCCTCTCGGAAACATACAAGGACAATACTGCATTAATCATGGATTCCCCCCCCCCCCCCCCTCCCCTCTTTCCTCCCCCCCATCCACACACACACACACACACACACACACACGGATAGCTGTGAGAGCAACCATGCATGTACATGAACGTCATTAGATTTCATAAATCAGTTTAATTGCATTGTACACTAATAACAATGTACACAGTCATAAATCTGTACCTGAACCGTAACAAACAAACAGCACACATACACACACACAGTCTCCAAAAACACATGAGTACATGAAATCATACACACCACCACCCACTAACCCCCACCCATACACACACACACACACACAAACGCACACATTCACACAGGCACAAAACAATGCATCACACTCAGATTTTCTGCTCCACCACACAGTGTTAGATGAGTGGGGAAAAGGCACAGAGGCCTGCAGTCATATCTGTGAATTCCATTTCGCAAAAACCACTTGAAGAAAAATGAAACATATCCTAGTCACAGACTTGGGCAAAAATCTTTTCTCAGATCTCAAGAATTTTCTCTGACATTGTAAGCAGCGCCGAGCACCAGGCTGTATGACTGAGAGGCGCAAATAGAGCAGTGACACGTGGAGGTCTGATTTAATTCATAATTAATACATGTTTTACAGGGAGACTAATGGCCTTGTGCCAGACAAGAGATGGAGCAATTAGTTGTGTTAAACCTAATGTCGTGAAGTGACGTAATAAGCACATTGTGTACAACAGACGAGCAAAAACTCAGAACAGGAACATAATTACCCTGAATTATATTTTGTCCTCTAAAACCTGTACAAAACACTTACTACTAAAAAGGATTGTCCCGAAGCAAAATCAGACTGTAAAATGTTTCCCACCAAACAGACAGGTCACAAAATATATACCAGAGGGTAATAAAATATAATGATCTCCCAGTTTTGATTTACTCACTATATCCTTACTCAGTGTAAAACATGAACCTATTTAGTTGAATCACAATGTTAATATACTTGAAGGAATTGAAGAAAGACACACACAAAGATCTTCAACAGATTTCATTGATTTTTTTTGTTCGCTGCTGCTAAATAGTATTCAATAGTTTAGACTATCACGGTGACATTTGAGGAAATGATCCAGTTTTTTCGCTGCAGTAAATATATAAAGTGCAGCCGCACCTACTGCTAAAGATATCGCTAAAGCAACAAGTCAACTCATACTGGGCAACAAGCTGCACGTACACATACAGAGCCGGCAGTTGTCAGATGAGCAGCAGGATCGATACACCTTCATTGCTTTACCGGGATAAGAGTGAGACTCTATGTTTAGACACTAATGCACCCCTCACTCGGATCAATAGACAGAGCTGCTGATTTGGATAACGGGTGAAGAAGACGCAGCTGTGATGCTTTTACTTTAGGGAACAAGAAAATATGAATCATTTATAGATTTGACTTTAATAGCTATGTTGACAACATCATTTATGAGACTTTCCAAACAAAAAAGTACAAAAGCTTTTAAAGGCCATAAACATTGTGGAAAGACTCCTTAAAGACAGCACTGTGAAGGAATGATAATGGAGGGTGGAAAATGGACCTCAGTAGAAGGATAATGGAAAGAAGATTGAAGGGAGGTAAGAGGCAAGGCGAGATGCAGGCTGCAGAGAAACGTGTTGTGGAAAAGGATGGCAGACTTTGGGAGAAATGAATGGTGGAGTCACAAGATGGAAAAAGGAGTTGGGAAAAACAAATGCATTTCTTTTACAGAGAATATATATTGTATTTTGCACAAATAAAGATGCAGCTTTAATTCTAATGAAACAATATTTAGCGGTTAGCACGTCTGCCTCGGAAGCAGAAAGCGGATCCTGGGTTTGATTCCCAGAGGAACCACATGCTGTGCATGGACGTGAACTTTCTCGTTGCTGTTTCTTTCATCAAACGGCTGCCGGACCACTTTTGGTCTGATCCGTCACTTAGGACCTGTTTGCCTTTGGAGACCCCACCAGGGGCAATAATCCTGCGACAACATACTGTAGCTCCTAGGTTCATGCTTAACACCCCCCCTCCCCGCCCCATGCAGCTTAAACTACTTACACTGTACTACTTCATTGTCCTTTGACTGACTGATGCTCCCTTTACTAGAGATTCTCAAAGAAAAATATAAATTAATTTCTTAATTTTTGAACAAATAAAGTTTACCTTAAAATACCATACAGGTTTGGGTTAATTACCAAACTACCAGTTACATTTTTATTACATCCTAAGCTTTTCTGAAAA